CCCTTGATCAATATAATTTTCATATCTTACATCGTCACCCCTTTTCTGTTGTTCAGCCCAGAAGGCATTATTTTTATCATCTGGCTACAGGAGGAGTCAATGCCACGGCTGGATGTCTTTACACAGGCACATTTATTTTATCTTAGACAAGGTGTGTTCGTTTGCAGAAACGCAGGCACGGGTGTGAAAGGTTGTCAGTGGATTGTCCGCAGTGGGGGGACTGTTCTCTCTTCAACATCTGCATGCATTCCTTGGAGATTCCATGAGAGTTGGCGTCCACGTTCCTCTGAGTCTATAAGAGTCCCAGAGCAAGTACTTGGGTTCTAAGAACACGCTTTCCTCTTGCCTTTTGCTTCCTATCTGCTGGCCTCTGTGTCCATGTCTCGTAGAAGAGAGACGGGGAGAGACGGAGCCAGCAAGGGAGGACTGGGGGAAGGCCGTGGATGTCCGATGCTTCCTGTAATCTTCGCCTCCCAATGGCCACACTGTCACAGCAACAATAAGCTCGTCTTCCCCATCCTAACCTCCAATAATCATATATGTCATACATAGCCATATATATATAATTGGCAGCAAACCAGAAGCAGAGGTTCGATTTGGGAAGACTCGGTAAAGAAGACGGTGAGGACCTTAGCTGTCCATGTGGACGATGATTTCATCCCACGCTCTGTCACGTGTGCTGGGAACAAAACTGACAGAGAGGGGCCTGCGGGCCTGCAGGGTCACCCTGAGCTCCTGCATGACCTCGGCAAGAGTATCCTGGCGCAGAGGACCTTGGGGATGGTCATAGCAATCCTGAGGGACAGGGAGCTCCAGAAGGGAGAACATGCACCGCGGCCACGTGTGCTGAAGCAGGCCCTGCAGGACAGCCGTGGAGACCCGGTTCCCACCCAACAGCAAGGTGCTGAGCCGGGAGCACCGGCCCAGAGCAGGCTGCAAGGTGCTGAGCACAGAGTCATTGATGTTGCAGTCCGATAAGTTCAGGTGGGTCAGGGTGGCCGAGACCCTCTGTAGCAGACGCGGGAGGAATCCATGGCTTAAGCGTGCCATGAAGATACCACTCAGATCCAGGGACCTGAGGTGGCTGGTGCAGGGACACTCGCACAGACTCGACATGTCAGCGTCCAGAGGCACGCAGTTCATGACGGCGAGGGACTCCAACGGGGTGGGCACGCATCCGAGCAGCTGGCCAAGCTGCTCATTCAGGAAGAAGACGTATTCCACAATGAGGCGGCGGAGTCGGTGCAGACTGCGGAGGTGGGAGGCCAGTTTCCCAAGTACCTTCTCCAACTTGCTAACGCTAGGTGCCCCCAGCGGGTCCAGGCTGATCCGGGAAAGATGGAGGATGCTCAGGTGACCCATCTGGGACAGGTAAGGAAGAAACCAGTTGAGGGTGTGCAGGTCCCAGCTGCAGTGCACTCCCGCCTCCTGCACAGAGTCCGGCTGCACCGCATTCAGGATCTCCTCCATAATGGGAAGTTCCAACAGACTGACAAATTCCAGCTTCCTACAGCACAGGGATGGCAGGGCCTTTCCGTGCTTGACCCTTTCATTGAGGAAGGTGAACAATTCGTCTGGAATGGTTTCAAGGAAGCACAGGTCTGTGAGCAGCACCATGGAGGCCAAGGGCTGAGGCCCCTCCCCTGCTGTGGAATTCTTCCCTCTGTGAATCACAGTCCAGGGCTGGGTGGTCGCCGGGTCCTCTGATGAGGGCACCGAGGCAACGGATTCGGTTCCAGACCACACTTTCCAGAAGTTGGAGCCAGTGTCCAGCCTTAAGTCCAGCACTTTCAGTTTGCTTCTCCTGGGTGGAACCTTCTGGGCCAACAGGACATCAAAACCATCCAGGGCCGCCTTTAAGATGTCCTGGTGAGAATGTCCAGACTCCAGGAGAGCCCCTAGTGGGAGCCGGATGAAAGGCCAGTACACCACCATGGCCTTCACCGCATCTTCATGTCCACCGGCCACAGCGCCCATGAACAGTGGTGGGAAGAGTTGTGTGGGCAGCCACTCCAGGGCAGCAATGGCCGAGGGCTCGTCCTGTAACACACTCTGGATGGCGAGGTCCAGGAGCCTGGGTGGGTTCCTGCTGCTCATGCTGACCAATCTGCTCCACAGGGAGTCCTGACCTGTGGATGGAAAGAGGGCTCTGTTCAGTCAGAGCCCCTGGGAGAGCCAAGCTGGTTGTTCTAGCCCTACAAAATCTGCACCCACCCACCCCCACCCTAGCCTGCCCCCCTTAGCTCCTCAGAGAGGAGCAATCCTGCCATGCCACGCCTCTCCTCAACTCACAGTGGTAGAGGCCGGCACGGTTCCCGTGGGACGTGGATGTCACCCTGGATTCTCCTCCTGACACAAGTGGGTCCAGAGGCTGTGGGATCCAGCAGGGGCCGCTCCAGTGGCGGTAGTGACCTCGGCAGCTGGGGAGGTGAATGAATCACAGGTAAGTAGGACATATGGTGGTTTGCTGTCTCAAGGCCAGGTCAGATGAAAGGCCCCATAGTAGCAAAAACTAGAGCGTCCTTCTGCCCGGGACTGGAGACCTCAGTCTTGCAACTCCTTGGCTGCTGACCACAGAGGGTCATGCCTTTTGGATGTCCTCTGCGTAGCTCCTTCCCTGACGTCCACTCCTGGCCATGGAGTTGGTTCCGAGTGAGCCCACAGATGGGCGCAGAACTGACTGTGGGTGTCTGAGACGCCGTGGCATCTTCTCCCACGAGTGATCTTTTACGAACATCACAACTGTGGTTACATCATCTCCAAATGGACAATCCTCTCCAGTGGCTACCGTGTGAGCAGGAGGCCCTGGGCTGCAATCACTTTCTTATGATCGCTCTTACATTTGCTTGGCTGGGACCATGGGTTTGAGGACTTGGGCTCCCACTGGCTCTTCATTCTTATGATGTTTTTCCCAGAAGGAGCGCTCATAGGAATCATTCATTTTGATTTTTAGTTGATATCATTGTCATTGTGAATTAGGTGTGGTGTTATCCTCGAGATCGTCAATTTTATGTTCAGGAATATGTTATGGATCAAGTCTGCAATTGCTTGTACCTCTCCATCTCCTAGAACCCTTTTGAGATACTACGTGCTCCCACACATGGCCAGAGTGCTCTCTGGAGGCGAGAAAAGCAACACTGTCCAGACATCATTTGGACATATTGTCAAGAGGAACCAGCCCACGAGAAGGACACTGTGCTTGGCAAAGTGGAGGAGCTGCACAAAGGGGGAAAGCCCCCCTGAGGAGGAGGGACACAATGGCTGCTACAACGTTGGTCACAGACCTAGGGACAATCCTGGTCATTGCCCGGACTGTGCAGGGTCTCGGTCTGTGTTCACCGGGCAGCTGTGGGTTTGAGCATACTTGATGGCACCTACCCAGGACACCCATGAGAGGCTTTCACATCCCTGCAGCCAAGGTTCAGAAGAAAGAAGGCGCTGGACCTGCCCTGCTTGCTGCCCGCCTGATTGAATGGGATCCGAAAGGGAAAATAGCATCTTGACGGCATCCCATGGTTCACTCGGCAGGGATGACGTGTTCAAGAGGGATGACGGTGCTTTGCTCGATGGAAATGTATAGATCTCTCTTGAACCGCCATCCTCTCGGTGATGAGATAATATTGATGGGGCTCCAAAGTCTTGTCAATACAGGGAGGATTCAGATTTGCTCATCACCCACTACTGAAGAAACTGACGAATTCTAGCCACCACTTCCTTCTGAAATGGACTGACCATGTAGTCATGAGGCACAGGTAACTAATGGTCGTCGGAATGCAAAATGTGGAAACATAGAGGAAGGAAAAGCCCTTGGATAATATACTCCAGGTGAGAGAGAGAGATCTGGAGATCAAGAAATAGAATTTCCAAGGACAGAGATTTCTCCATCACATATCTTTAGTTTTATTTTAATTTTTCATACCTTTTGTTTTGTTATAATAACCCCGTGGGCAGCCATGCATGTAGACCTGTGCCAACCAAATTCACAGAAATCAACTCGGCTACACTTGTGGGAAGGGTTTTCCAGATGAAAGAGACCCCGATCCCAAACATAAATGAAGGAAGACGCTGACTGAGCCTGTAGGGACAGACAACAAAACCCCGGACACGTGATCTGGAAGAGGGATGCCATCAGCGTGAAGCCCGTCACGATGGCATCAGAGGGGTCATCATCCGGATGTTGCTTCTCTTAGGCTGCAAGGCAGGAGCCGATCACAAATCCGTGACTGCCTGCAGATCGTTAATCACAATAGGAGGGGGTGTACGGACCCTGTAACAGGGCCAAAGTAGGGTCACATACTTTCTTCTTCTTCTTAATTCTATTCTTCCTACATTTATCGGCTGGCAGTCTTCTATAAGAACTGATTTTCATTCTGTCTCTGTTTTTGTTTCTGAATATCATTACAGGATAAGGAATCGTTTATTTGCATTATTAATTTTAGATGTTCGGGTCACCTACTTTATGTTCCACAGCTTAGAAGATTTGTCCTTCCAAACAGGGCAAGATGGCCAGGGTATGACTGCTGACCGGGAACCCTCCATGTGTGTCCATCAAGGACACAGCCAGTTAAGCCCCTAAGAGACCGCCCCTCTCTGGACTGTCTGGAGTGGGAGGTCATCCTCTTTCCAATGCCCGCCACCTGGGGGCAAGGTTAGCTCGTTCCTTGTTACAGGATCTCAAGGAATTTAGTGAAGTAGTTTGGGGTTTTTCCCCCCCCCAACAGTTTCATTGGCACATAATTTACATATTATAAAATTGAACAGTTCAATCATCCAATCATATCAAGGGGAATTGTACAATCAGCACCACGGCTATCTTAGAGCATCCCTAAGCTATCTAGTCCCTCCCCCAAACGAAACGCTCAGGATTTAAGCACTAGCCTAAAGGTTGGGGGAAGCTCCTTATCCTCTGTCCAACATGAAGCTGGGGCCGAGAAGTTGAAGAAAATAGCACGAATCCATGAGAATCCGAAATTCAACCTGAGAGGTATCCAACATGAATATCAAGACCATGTCACAACCAGACTTGATGAACTAAACACTGCCGACACAAACGTGGGTCAGCTGTGGGTCCACACCAACAGCATTCTGCACGAGGCAAGCAGAGCCCTTCACAGAGACAAGAATGATCCAGATGGACGTCTGAGACCCTGAACCCTGCCCTTGGCAGAAACGGAGCAAAAGCAAATGGAAGACGTGAGGAAGGAAAAGAGGAACTGAACATTTCAACGGGCAACTTGAGAAATCAGCGTTTTACAGTGAAATATACTGCCCAAGGCGAACATCGGCAACGTTAGCATAATGAGGACACGGGATTTCATTCTGGACATGAGGTCGAGCAAAGAGAGGTGGGGATGGGCTGTCACCCATCGACACTTTGTCTGACATAATCCAAGAAAAGAAGCCAGTGCCGCTTACACACAGACCTGTCGGCACTTTCCTGTTCAATACAGACACGAAGCAGAAACCATCATTTCTGCAAAGATAGTTGTACTAACTTTGTAACAAAGCGGACTTTTGGCTTCTTCTGCAGGTCAGAATTCAGGAGGGCAAAGAACTAGGCTCTCTCATTTACACGTCTTTGTCTACAGGGGAATTCGCTTAATCTACCCTCTTTATTCTTCCGCTAGGGTTCTGGTTCAGTTGCTTATCTTGCCTCTAGCAATCTTCTCTTCCTGGATTCTGGGACGACAGGGAGACTCCGAGTTACAGCTCTTCCCTGTATCCCTGTAAGTTCATCTCGGCAGCTTAGTGGCCAGGCAGTGAGTGTAGGACATTCAGCATGGCACTTACACCGCGGTGCAAAGACCTGCAGGAACCCCTGAGAGTTTTTAAGCTGTAGGAACACAAGGAGACCTTAAGCTGATAGAAGGAGAGACACACTTGAACTTTGAATTGCACGAGGAAAAGTCTATGGACATAATGTTGAAGGCTACTGTTGCTAAGAGCCATTGTGTCCTCCATGACCCATATCCAACCTATGCCCAACAGAAGAAGATACTGCCAATCCCGTGCCATCAGCATCCACCAAGAGGCAACAAGCTAGCAGAAAAGTGGGGGTGAAAGATGGAGGGCCCATCAAAAGGGGATGGAAGGATGGAAGGAACACACAGACTTGCGGTGCCAAAAAGAACCATTTCAACCATTCAACCATTGCCCTCCCTTGGGTCTGAACCAGGCCCATTGAGCATGGCAACATCCATGGATCTGACCCCCCCCCCCGCCCTTGGGGATGCCCTGATGGCTTGACACCCACTTACCTTGGGTCCAGTGATGGCTCTAGGAACCGGGGAGGGATTGTAGGTCCACAGACGTCCTCTTAACCAGCTCAACTCTCTTGGGTGAAGTGAGTTTGGCTTTTATAACTGTTGATCCCCCCCCTCCCCTTGTCACTTAACAAGGACTGCCCCCCCCAGGGAAACTCCCTCACAAGGATCTCATCAGGTCCTTGAAGGGATCAAGGGCTTAGTGTCCCACCCTGAATCTTGAGACACTTGGATTACTTATCACCTGGGCTCACCAGGTAGGAAATGCTTAGATTTTATAGTCCGCCATTAAAACTGCCAAATAAAGCAAATCCACTGGCCGTGGAGTTCACCCCCACTCCGGTTGACCTTGTGGCACAGAGAAGAACGGTTCCTTTCATGTCAACAGTCGGGGATGTCATCCCCCAGCTGGTCCAGTTATTCTGTGTGGAAGGTCCATTCATCACATCTGTTCTTTAGATGGTCTTGACAGGCAGGTGGGGGTTTCTAAGGTTGTAGTTGGTCCCCCATGGGCTTGTTTCCTTTCCTTCAATCTCCACTTCCAGTTGAGAAATGGATGGCCTGGTTCACACGGGCCCCCGCTTCATTTTGACAGCGGATACAGAACTTCTCCAGCGTCTAGATTCTGTAGCTTTGGAGGAGGCTGTAGACGACGGGGAAAACCCAATTCCATTTTCATTGTAACCACCTAGATGCAGCCTCACTCAGCTCCTTGGGGTCCATAAACAATGGAAGCAGGTAGTCTCACCCTCAGGTAGTCTCACCCTCTGGCAAGATGAAATGGAAAGTGATCTACTTTCATCCTTGACCATCAGCCCTGAGGGAAGTAGCCTC